TGATCTATTTTCAAATAAGCATTAATGTAAAAATGTCCATAGCTGCATATTGGTTATTTATTCTCCAGGTTCATATTGTTAAATAAAATACTCTATTTGTTTTATTTTCCTCTTTGTTATTTTGTAAAGTTTTCTAAGGTCCACATTGTGTGACCACTTCTACTATATAACCTTTTGCTGCTGGAACGCCACAATTTCCCAATTCTGGGACAATTAATGGAATTTCTATTCTATTCTAATTTAGACAAAAGCTACGTTCCTGCTGCAGCCTAAAGTGACCAAAACCTGATTTTTTTTTTGCCGATATTTACCTGGATCTGATCTTTCATGACAGTCTCAACAACAGAGGTCTGATTTGTTCCAATGTGACCCAGGCCACTTGGCTCTGTGGTCCTGAATCTGATGTCAATCTGATGTTTTCAGATGCTACCTGCGTTGCATTCATCCATTAATACTCAACAAAGGTCTGCATTCTGCGTGACGTTTAGCGCAAAGAAATACAACCTTCTTGAAAAGCTTGTGTTGTCCCGACCCGATGCAAGCTAACATCCACTGTTTCTACCTGCTCATCCAGGAGCAGAGGCGTCAACTAACTACGTAAAAAAAGTTTGCTACCTTACTTCAGTAGAAATGTTCCTTATCTATTCTTTACTGGGGGATGAATTATTAGAAAATGTTTTACTTCTACTCCTTCATTTTTTTTGCAATTATCTCTACTTTCTACTTCTTACATTTTAAAAATAATCTTGTTAGTTTTGTTTCATTTAAGCTTTTTTTCATTCTGACTTGTTGGTACTTAAATAAATAAAAAGCATCAAAATAATCAGTTATATTCAGATAATTAATTTCTTTGTGGTTGGACTCGGTGCTGCCCCAACTTGTTGCTCACCACGTACCAATAAAAATAGTTTATCTAGATGATGCAAAGTTAAATGTGACACTGTTACCATTAGTTATAAGACTAAGGAAGTTATCATCCAGAATGGTAGAAAAACATCCTTAAGATTTTTTTCCTGCATTACTTTTATTTTTATACATTAAGTAGTTTTAAAAATTGGACTCTTCCACTTTTACTGGAGTAAGAAGCTGAAGTTGTTCCTTCTAGGATTTCTACTTCTACTGCAGTAATAAACATTGATATTGTTGACAGCTCTGTCCAGAGGAGAGAATCCTGCAGTGTGATTGGCTGGATGCAGTCAGCCGGTTTATTTACCATTGGATGATCTGAGTGAAATGGAGCCATAGAAATAAACCGAACTGTTTGAACACATTTCAATCTAAATGAGTTTAAAGGTAATTGGACGTCAATTCTCAAACATGGATCCAATCATTGAACCATGTTGAGTGTGAGTTTCTGAGCTGCACATCAGCTGCTGCAGGGACGAGCTGCTGCACACAGAAGCTTGTAGCTTTAATCTCTGAATTCATGTTTAAATGGATTCATCTGAAACAGAAACCAAATTGAAAGCCGGGTGAGGAAGAGTTTATAGATTAGATTTAATGAGATAAAGTGGAATTAGTGAACCGGTGGGTTTGCTCCCACAGGAGGACTGGAACCAGTCCTCTTCCTCTGGTCCTGCTGCTTAATTTCTCCATCATCCAGGAAGGATGACAGATTTTATATCCATTTAAAAGCCCAAGTCTGTCGTTCTCTGGCTCATTATTCCATAACTTAAAGCAATAAAACTGAAGCCTTCTGCAGAACAGCCGCCTCAGAGATTCACTGTCAGATCCAAAGATCCTTTTTAAAAAAACATGATGTGAAGCACTGGAGCGTCGCTTTGGGAAAACACCACACGCTCAGACTAAGGCTCAAACAATCAGATTAATCCATTATTGAAATAATCGTCAACTAATTTACTAATTGATTAATCATTAGCTGGAATTTAAAGACTGTAAAACATGATTTTAGCTGACAGAACAACCCACTTAGAGCAGGAATTATACTAAATGTATTAAACAAATATATAAACATTTGGGATTTAAGATAAAAAAAACTTTTTGATCTCTCAATCTGCTCTATCCAGAACTCCACAAGTGGAAACTTTTCAGTTTCACAAATCTTCTTTAAGGAACCTTTGGCTACCCGATTATCAATTAATTAATCTAAAATATGATCCACAGTTTAATTGATTTAGTAAAATAATAATTAGTTGCAGCCCTAGTTCAGACTTTACCCAATAAAGCAACAGATCTATGAGCCGCTTTTAATCCAGATTTCAGTAACGTTTGAATCAAACTACCTCCAGCAGATACTGAGAAATCCCTCGGTCCCTGAAGGCCTCGTTCTCAGACAGTCTACTTGCCTGTTGTTTGAAATAGCGCCTCTCCTCCTCGTCTATGAGGACCAGGTTGAGGAAGTATCGCACCGAGAACTTCTTGTTGACGTCTCTCATGGAGGGGGTGAGCTCATAGCCCGCCAGGAAGAGCCGGATGGGGATGGATTCTCCTGCAGAAGCAGGAAACAGCAGAGTTAGCCTGAGGAGGAGCCGGCTCACAGCGCTGCTGTTCTGTCAGAGGAGCGTACCCGTCAGACCAGCATACCCATAGTCAATACCCGTTTATCCCTTTAGCTTTGTATGAAAAATAGACTTTCATCTACCTCAGTGGGCGGGTTTCCCTTTAGTCATTTACAAAAAAAATTATTACAATTTAATAATTTAATGACCGTATTCTTCGGACTACAAGTTGCACTTTTTTTCATGGTTTGGCTGGCCATGCCACTAATACTCTGGTGTGACACATCACCACAAGAGGGCGCTATGTAGCTTTGCACGCATCAAGATGTATTCTATAATACAAGGAAAGAAAAAAGGTCATAACTTACAGCAACAAAACAAATGAGCATTTCAAAGACGACGACTGAATAGAAAGATGCCACCCAAAGGACATTCATATGCTGAAAGTTATTAAATATGCCGTGGAAAATGACTGATGGGGAACCGGGAGGATGAACCATGCATCTGTCCTGGATGTCATCGGATGGATGGATAAAACATGGGCCTCAGTGACAACGGAAACAATCCTGGCGTCTTTTGAAAGGCTGGAATAGGAGCAGAAACCCGAGTCTGATGACGAGTCTGAACACAGAGGAAGAGGAAGCGGCGCTGGTCTGCTGGTGGAGATGGCAGAAATGTTCAGAAGTGACACCGACGAGGAATTCAATGGATTTGCATGAACTTTATTGAATTGACCTGTGATTTATCCGTTCTTTGAATAAGCTCGAATAACTTGATGTTATCGGCCGGTGGCTGCATAGCCTATTAGATGGTTTTGTTTTGTGTTTTTTAAACAGACTTCTTTCAAAATAAACTATTATTGGTCTCTAGTTTTGTGGTCTTGATATGATATAGTGTCTGAATGACATGAAATGTTTTATCTGGAAAGGCGCACTTTCTGCCTGTTTTTATTTTCTCCGATGTTGTTCTTGTTTTTTTCTTCTTCACTAGAAGATCGTTTTCACTACCGTACCCGTCATTGGATCTTATTTTATATGATGAAATATTTTTGTTTGATTTTATGAAATAAAATCAAATAAAAATGAAGAGTGACACTCCTCGATGGTGACTGCAGTTTTATTGACAAAGAGCCACGGGGCGATAAGCTCGACCAGCAAAACGTTCTAAAAGCAAACTGATTAAAGTCGTAGGAAAGTCATGTTTACATGTCAAATCCTTCTTGCTTAATCATGTATATAAATGTACTCT